AAGTTCACACCACACTGATTCTCTAGCTGATTGATGCTCTGCAGATAACTTAACTTGCTGGGCCCCATAAGAGGTTCTAACCCACAGAGCTACACCTCTACTGCACTGCTCTTCATTTAAGTTATGAAAACAATCAAAACCTGGCAGCTGAAATTCAACAGGTACAATTTTCCCCCCGTGATTTTTAGGGAGTGTTTCTGTAATACAAATAATGTCTATACACTCGTTTGCGATCACAGTTAACAGTTCACTTTTCTTGTTCAAAACGGAATCCGAGTTCGTGTGTAAACATTTTAAAACTATTTGTGCACTTTCACTTTGATGTATGCGGTTACTTCCTACATTATTTACAGGCCTTGATCTACGGACATCATTCCTACTAATTACTTGTCCTACATCTCCTCTGACTGTCCGTCATGTCTGACTGTCTATCATGACTATGTTCGTCATGTTCGTCCGTCAGGACTTCTCGTCACGGACGAAAAAGAAAATGTGCTCTCTGTCACTCACTGGCCACTGCAGTGTTTACTGATCTATTTTTTTGTTTGATTAGCATTATTTTGCACCAATCCTCATAAAGATAAGATTAAGGCGCTTGCTAAAACAATTACGGCTTCGCGATAGTTAAAGTAGAAAGTTATTAAATACATTTAGCACGTTCACGGAACTTCACTTCAGCATGCCCTACTTGCTCACTTACACCGCCTCTCCACCGTGGTTAGATTAGGATCATTAGGTTATGCTAATGCTTAGCTAGGTTAGGCTTAGCCTAGCCGGGGGCGCAGCTGTAGGCAACAAATTTTACTCTTAAATAAGCCCTGGAGCCAACGCCTACCTTCACCATGCATTAACTTTACTCAGCCTCAGAACTAGAAGCCGCAGACTACGCTTGAACTCCGTAATCCAGACAAGCGACACACTGCCGAAAGATAATAGGCCGTAGTTCTTCAGCCACTGCTTAAGCATGCTCGCTCATAAACAGGCAGTTCCCCATCTGGCTGTACCTACTCCGGCCTAACCTCTTCTGGCCTAACCAATTCACGCTGTCCCAGCTCACAACCTTCTCGCAGCCAATGACTGGCTCTATCAGCGCACTTGGACCACCTTTTCAATTTCTTGCAGCCAATGAGGTTAGGTTAGGTCCACTCAGCTTTGTTTTGGGTGGAGAAAGGTTGCAGCTCGTCTAGGTTAGGCCTGAAGTGAGGCTGAAGAAGTTAGACGGTTAGACCAGATGAGGTTTGGCCAGATGCAGTGTGGCCATGTTTACCTTTGGCAAGCTTATTTTGTGGCTGTGGACATCCGGCACTATGGCTTTGAGCACTTGACTTCATAGGCCGTTACGCGTTCTTACCTATGCCGTTACGCGTTCTTACGCGTTTACGCCGTTACGCGTTCTTACCTATGTAAAGGAATATGAACTAAGTGTGAAGTATGGCAAAGCTGGCCTCCGTGATACGCCATGCCTAGCCAATGAGGCTAGGCTAAGTCCATATATGGGTTTGTTCGGAAGGAAAGTCATGGTTAGTGCGGAGGTTGAGCCAGGACAGGGTTACAAATGCAGGAAAACTAATTGAACTTGAGCAGTGGCTGCCGACTTACAACGCTATGGGTTGGGTAACACTTAACTTCATAGGCTAGTTTTCCATGCAGCATGCTTGCGCCCTGGAAGGAATGATATTAGCGATGATGGTATTAAGTAATGATGGTCACCATCATGCATCCTGATCAGCACGTATAATTTTCAGCAGTCTTCCTAACTGTAAACATTTCTAAACAATAAGTTACGAAATAAGTATGTCTCAAGTCCCACCATCAACAATATAATACTATAGGTTACTACATATATCAGCATGGTTCATGTTGCATCAATGTTTACGTTTCACGTTTTTCTATCATAGTTCAGCAACTTTATTGCTCAACGATGCTCACTCAGCTTGATTAGTTAAGAATAATAATCATTCCTCGAGAAATTGAAATTGAAGAATAAAGGTTAGCCGAGCAGTGAATTGCGGGTTCGAGCTCCAGTTGGCTGAGAAACTTCAGCGAAGTCAAGGAAATTATAGGCCAGAATTAGCCTAATTTTCACGCTAGTTCATCATTATACCATTATACATTATACTATATATACCGAACAGATAATTCGTCACACATAGCCATAGGGGGAAAAATAACACAGATTATACTTCCTTCTCACTCATAAAAATGTGGTCCAGGTCATTGATCACTCACAAAGGAATTGTATTTGGCAAGTATTCCACCAAATATGCACGTATATATGAGAGAATACACAATCACATTATAAATACTTTCTGCCACCAGGACAACATTATAATTGAAAAATTTCAAAGCTTCAATCATCAAAATTCTAACGTAATTACCAAAGTAAAAATCCTGGAAAAAATAAGCGACCACATACCACGACACGCCAGACATTGCAAATGGTTCAGCTTAAAAACTACATCGTAATCAAAAACATGTACATGAAATAAAGACAAAACGGTTTTAAAACACCATATATTTGGTTTTATATTAAAATTATATTAATTAATTCATATGATATTAATTCTGGGATAGATAAAATGAACACAGATCATAACCATAAAAGGTATAGTTCAAATTCTAAACAAATGTAACTTTGAAGTGGTTTAGAACTTGATTTCACTTGTTCAAAGCCGTGGACTGTGGTCAACCTACGGACCCAAGGAGCTCTTGTGCCTATTTAGAATAGAAGTGTCGGCACTGAAGAAATAAGCCCATGGCCTGTTGCCGATTCTTGTCATAGAAGACTTTCAACGTGATCTCTTACTTGTCTTACACTTGCTACAATAAATGACAAAAGTAAAAAAAACCTTGAATACTTGGCACTTGAAGAACAATGTCTCTGTTGTGATTAGGAGATGATATTTTCATTTCTTTCCTTTCCTATAATTAACAACAAAAAAGTAGAGGTCTAAACGATATTAGTAAAATATAATTAAAGAAAACAAATTATCGTGATCTATTAGGACATATAATGTCTAGCAGGGAATAATTTTAATTTTGTAAAAACAAACGTTCTCTTAAAGCTTTTCACCAGCGGTCTGTTGAGATTCCGCAAGTATGAACACATTTCATGACATGTACATTTCATGATAGTACAAATTTTACATGGCGGCTTCGCAAGATGCTCGAGCTAAACAAAATTAGATTCACACCGGAGATTTTACCCACGATTCAATGAGATTAGTCTCATCGTAGAAAAGATCAAGGCTATTTGTTTAAAAATAGAGAAGTGGAGTAATAGTGATGACTGGCAGTAATTGCAACCTTCAACCGGAACGATTCTTTCGGAGTTGCCAGCGAATGATGCCAAGGCACGTATTATTTTCGTTGCCGAAAATTCGTGATAACTTACTAAGATAATTCGATTCAAGCAATGTGCTCCGGTGGTTAAATTCAAACTCTATCTATCTTCAAGTTCTGTTTTCCCAGGTATTGACAGTGATACAAGGTTTGTCGAGATTCGCTGCCTTGCCAGAATCGCCGTCTGAGATTCTGACGTCGACGTCAGGCACGCCGTACGCGTCGCGCAACTGACGCAGCAGCTCCCGCTTCTCTGCAGGCGGCAAGAAGCTGTGCAGGGCCGCGTTGAAATTCTGGAAGAGAAGTAATGTTATTTTGGTCGTATGCATTTATCTCCACAACATAAATAAACTTGAGAATATAAATAATATGTATATAAAAAGGCTTAAGAAATAGAATCTGTCTGACAGCCTGCTACCATTTCTAGGACGCAAGCTATTAGATACAGAATGTGCAGAATGATCTCATAAACGTAATCTTGACTTTATTTTTTCGTAAATCAATGAATCGGGATGTAAAATAAAAAAATATATCCATATTTATAAACGATATCCCGAATTAACGAACTTGAATGTAGAAAGCATCTTATTAGATTTTTCTAGCAGGAACCACGCTAATGACACATCAGCAGAACTCAGGATTAGTGAGTTAGAAGGCGGCAAAGTAAATGTTAAGCCTCAAGTAAATACTGACGGCGCGTGCGAAGACGGCTTCCGAGCAGCCCCAGGACGCGAGGAGGTTGTACTCGTCACGCAGGGACGTCGCCGTCAGCAGTGGGTCGTCTCTGTTGATGCTGAAGCTCACGTCGTCTTCGATGAATCTGCGGGCATACCATGATGAGGACGGGATCACAATAACGTGCGATACCATTTATTACAAAGAGTACTGCATGAGTCACCGAGGGCTGTAAACGGAACTGCGCACTTATCACGATTGAAATACGTAATGTAATGAAGAATGCCTCAACTTAAAGCACGAATAGTAAGAATTATACGCCTGAAAATACCTAGCTCATGATAAATTAAACATCCGAAATGACATGGAATTAGAGTACTTAAAAATACGGAAATCTGAAGCTGAACTGGTGAAAGTTCGTTTGAACGGAAGTCGTGAGTACGCTTAATGAAAATAACTAAATATAGACCACGAGACGAAGCAGAAATTAGGTCGATTCTGCAACATAGTTCTAGAATAAAATCCTTTGCAATTCCATAAGATAACTATGACTAGTGTTAAACTTAACTGAATATGTTTCCGATCTGCAAAGAAGAATGAGAAAAATTCATTCGAGTTAGAATTTATCATGAGATATTTTTACGTAGAGGCTACCACAGGATAGGGTGACGTTTAGAAGTGAGCTGCAGGGATGCTGTTGTCACCGAAGTACGGGGTGGCGTTTAGAAGTGAGCTGCAGGGATGCTGCTGTCACCTGAGTACGGGGTGGCGTTTAGAAGTGAGCTGCAGGGATGCTGCTGTCACCTGAGTACGGGGTGGCGTTTAGAAGTGAGCTGCAGGGATGAGATGGCGCCCGTGAGGTATGAGGATGTGGGGCAGACCTCGAAGTGAGTCCCCCGGCAGTATTGGTAGGTGGACTCGTCCTCCAGCACTCGGTACCCGTGCCCTATGCGCTCCGCCTTCAGGTCGTCTATCGCCTGATGCAGAACGAGCAATCAGCAGCATGTTGGTAAGTACAGTGCAATAAAGGCACCTTTATTTAGAGCAGTATGATATTAGACTCTTTTTATGACATTCTATAAATAAAATACTCCTTTTCAAACAGATAAATCAAGTTTAGTGCAGTTAGTGATTGCATTAACATCCATTTACAGATCTAAATCAATACATTGGATGGAATCTTTCATGGCAGCCACTACACTGCGATGTAAATGCTTCATAGAGGCCCGACTGACTACAGTCACGACAATTTTACAGGATTCTCTCAGGTCCCTGAATGTCTACTGACAGTCACGCGCGACTCACAGCTCTGACGGAGGCAGCAGGGGCGTCCTCGCCGGCGTGGACTGTGCGGTGGACGCCGCGACGGGCGGCCTCCTGGAACACCTCCGCTCCTTCGCTGTGTGTGTCGCCTGCAGTCAGATACATCGTTCACTCGTCAGCTATCATATCCGAATTTTCTCGATATTAAAATAAATGAATTAATGCGATACTTTGGTCACTCGTCAGCTATGCTGTCAATATTTGCATGAAATAATGTTGTTTAGAAGAGATCTTGTCGACGTAAAATGATATTCGCAATCGAAGTGAACTTCTTCACTTCATTAACACTGACCGCCAGACGCAGTGTGGTGACTCCCGGCGATATCGATGCCAACCACGCCAGAGTCTTTGAACTTCTCGCACAGCTGCAATATCTCCGCTGACCATTCTGACGAAGCCAAGAGGCAGTTGATGAATGCTTAATAGTTAAAATGAATGTTATACTGTATACCTACTGAAAGGCTAGATTATTTATTGCATAATATTATAGACGTTTTGGGGCAGGTTAGGAATAACAGTAAACATCAATCAAGCACTTCTAAAAATATCCTCGCCAGGCCAAAAAAACGCCCAGTCTACATAAGAAGGTAGAGCTGTGAAGAATTTTCCGAATTTTTTTTTAGCTAACACGCTCTACGATTAGCCTGTCAAGGCTTGACCCATGATGATCAATTTATTACTTGGTTGGCCGCGGATGCAGCAGAGAATGAGACGAACTTTGGTGCCAGGGCAAGTTTTCTCGCCCTCACCTATGCCGGCAAGAGCGGCCTCTACAATTTGTTCCGCAATCACGTCCTGGCTTTGAGAACCTAAGATGAGAATCGCAGATTAGTATAGTGTACATAAGCCGTAAATTTCAACATAACTCTATGATCATTCTTTTCATATTTATTCTACGAGGCAATTAATTCGACGGTCACCCCGTATCAGGGCGACAGACTTATATTATGATGACTTTACTTCATAACATTTGTGACATTGTGAAAAAAAAAAACGAATTATAAAACTTCAACATTAATCTGCCTTTTACATGAAGCAGTATTAGGAGGGTATATAAAGTGCAACCATTACCAAACGATACAAGCATCATGTAATGATGAGCTACATGACATAATATGGCATAACGTGACATAGGAAAGTGACTATTTTTACCGTTAGTGTTGCCATTAATATTGGCATCATTTGCATGGTCAGCAGCAGCAGCCCAGACGGGCGGGGTTTCCATCTTCAGAGGCATGAGCAACTGCGGACACAAGCGGGCCTCGCAGTACGCCACGAGCTCGCGGCTGCAGTCCTCGACGAACTCTCGAGCAACGCGACGGATTGCCGTCAAGTCTCCGCTGTGAGAATATTTAAAAATTACACCAGATATTCGTGCACTGAAATCATATATATTAGATGACGCACGTGAGTTCATGATGCCACGGATACGTACAAAGTTTCTCCTATAAAAATTGATGTATATTTCGGCAAAAAAAAACCTTCTATTGAAGTGACTTGGGTGTTCTAGGTTCACAGACAAATCATTGTTAACAAGAAAACATCAACAAGGACGAAGATCGTCTACAACAAAGTGGTATTTACCATCGTATATTTAGCACGAAGAAAACCCTTCTAAATCCACTCACGATTTTAAGACGATAACATTTATATCGTATTTCGTCATATATTATATATTCAAATCTATTCACTAATGATAGAAGACAGGTTTATTACTTAGTAATCACACGAATGTTACAGGTAAATTTGATATGCGTGAAACAATTGTTAATGTTAAGTTACTGAAAAACAAACATGAATGTAAGTACCAACGTACGAAAGGGCTGGTAAGAAAATGGAGAAAGGCTTGAGGAAGCAGGCCAAATCGGTGGGTTCTTTGGGGGTGAGAGCGTCAGTGAGAGCTTGCAGAGAACCATCCCCAGGCAGCGGTAGTCCTTTCTGTCTGCAATAGGAGCTTGATTAGTTCCTTAAATCTTGCGGAGGTGATACTACATACCAAATATCCGTAAAACAAAATACAATCAGAAAATTAACAAGTTTTAGCTGGAAAATTGATGATTCAATTTTACAAAGCAGATTCTAAAGTCACAGCGTGTAATTGACGAATAGAGCGTCTCCTAAATTGCAACACCCAATCATAATAAATGTAATTTGATATCATGATTGATATGTAAATTTGATTAAACAGACAAACAAGTTCTCGACATACATGTGTAATCAGCAAATAAAGATGACTAAGAGATGCTGTTAGACTCCTCTTTCTCGGTATAATTTTTTGGAGATAACCGGGACATGACAAGACGAGATATGTCTCGGAAAAAAAGGACAAATGGAAATATTCTCCACACAAAATAAGCTATAAATCATAAAATAATTGTGCTCGTAAATTAAAAATTGAGTCCCATAATCGTTACGAGACAGATAAATATGAACCGAAACGTAGCCTATGCACTGTATGTGGGTACGAGATATTCTAGAACAGTCCGAGAGTGTTTAGTCTCGATCGGACTGTTCTAGAATAGATGTATGCATACAAAACAAGACATTTCGCTAACTAACTTGGACAAAAATAGAAACAGTAAAATTGTAAAAAATAGTAACTTAGCTGATTGCTTCAAACAGCAAATAGAAGACCAGGAGTATGAGTGTTATTTCTATAAACTCAAAAATAATAATTAAAATTGTTTTGAAATTGTTTGGTAACAAACTTGATCAAGTCCCATGCAGTTTCAGGACGAAGAGCTCCGTCGAGATGAACGTGCAACTCAACCTGTGGGCAAAATACAAAGATTAAAAACAAAGATTCAAGAAACGGATTTTAGAAAATATCGAAGTTAAATACCTACAGAATACAAGTGAAGCAACGGATGGCTGACTGCCACCGAGAGTTATCGGAAGGTGAGGTGAACGTGCTGAACAATTATTCAGTAAACCACCTGACCTGCTTTCTGTCTTATCAAACAGACGAAAACGAATGAGGATGCTGATCAAAGTAGCAAACCATAATCAAACACACTTCATAGTTCAATAACATAATAAGTGGACGAACAATTGAAGCAATGTTCGGGCTCACGCGTTGTTAATCAGTAGGTACATGTAGTTACATCAAAAAGCAGATTGAGTATTAGCGAAGTGCAGTGACCACATTTCCGGTGTGCAGGTACAATATGTGGGCGATTTTTGTTACTTTTGACTCAAGAAACTTTGCAACAGTGTGAACAGGGAGTCCATAAAAGCCATTACACCGAATACAAATATTTGAATCTCGAGCAGAGAGGAAAATGTTTCCGCTTTACCGCGGTCATGGACGGACATGGGCTTTGCACGCGCAGCCAAATTAAGAAACGTAAAACTTGGAACCCGCTGCTCACTGGGTTAAACAAGCACAGTAATCGAGATAGTTCTGGGAAGTGAAAGCATCCGAACAAGTAAAGGTCTAAGCGTTGCATATTGCAGGGAACAGAAAATCTTAATAGTTAGCCTTTTCATACCACTGATAGGAACTGACGATCGTATTGTGCTTAGATATGAATTAATACCACATTATTGCGATAGATCTCTGATATATTTATTTCGCTTAAATGCAAAGATTACATTGTTTAATAAATGGTTAAAACATATTTTATTCATTGCATCATCGTGGAGGTGTGTGAAGTATCAGCATAAGGAATGTTCAAGAGATAACGACCGAAGAAGCCAAACCGAAATAAGCCAAAAAATAAACACAAGAAATTCAACAAATATTTTTACAAACATAATTCGCAAGCTGAAATCTAACTGCAAATAGAAGAGATAGGGTCCGTTGTCAATGCAAAAGAAGTTAACATGGAGTTGATCGGTATAGAATATCACTGCCATTCGCTAATCCATCCAGCAAATTATCTATCCTGTTATCCTAAAATTTCCTAAACTATATATTATTAAGTAAATAAAGACTTATTCAAACTCTCATTAACAACAAAAATGTAAGAAACACTTAAATATAAAATTAAATCCAAAATTCATTTTGAATATTCAACTTTTGCTCACTAAAATTTTTAGAGCACACGTAAAAAAACTAGTTATATACCAACCTTGCAACTAAAATTCGCGAGGATGCTTAGCTTATTTTGATTTGCTCCGAGCCAATTTTCCATGAAAAATACGCGTATATAGGGACGCTTCTTGGAATCTGAAATATATCATAAAGATTTTATTTTCGTTCAAGTTTTGAAGCCGTGACAGGAGGGGAACGGTTGAAAATAATAACGAAAGCAATCAGTGATACCAAGGCCATGCATGTGCTGTCAACTACGGAAATTCCCGATCGCGAGGATTAAAGCTGAGACCGGTTCTGTGGAGTCGCCCCAGTCATATAATTAGTTTCGGAACAAAAATTGTCCAGAAGATTAGACGTTGATAAATAACATCTTCTGCGACTCTGTTTTCACGACCTAACACAAAATTCATATGAAACCAAAAATAATAATAATAAAACATTTATATGTATTTATATAGTTAAGCGATTAAATTATAGTTGACGCAGCCTACGAAAAATGCACATTGCAAACAATTGTTAAATGTGTGTTTAGTATATATCTTTGGAAATGTGAATGTGATCATAGCCTGATACCAAAAAGAGCAGGCCAAAAGAGCATAGCCTGATACCTCAGTACTCACAGCAGTGAGTGACAGAGAGCGCATTTTCTCGTCGACGAAAACTTGAGGTCACGGACGGACGGACAGGCGGACAGACAGACAGACGGACATGGCGAGCACAATAGTGCATTTTTTCCATAAATGAGAAAATGCGCTAAAAACAACGAAAACGTGATTGAATGAAAAAACTAAAAAAACAGACATTAAAACAAAATTGATTATTTAGCCTTGGCTCATGAGTTTTCTTTCCAGAATGACGCAGCAAAGTTCTGTGCGAATTGAAGACCTTTTTTCGTTACAACGACTAACTTCAGCCTGGTGATCCCAAGCCTAGCAAGAAAAGCAACAAAAAAAAAAAGCGCTCAATGAAAACGGGTCAATGAAAAAAAATTATAACTCAGTACTCACTGCAATGAGTGACAGAGCGCGCATTTTCTCGTCAACGAAAACTTGAAGTCACGGACAGACGGACGGACAGACAGACGGACATGGCGAGCACAATAGCGCCTTTTTTCCATAAATGAGAAAATGCATTAAAAAGTCGTTCCACTGCTTATGGCATGAAGTACAGAAAGTTTCCCTCCAAACAAACAAACAATAATATTTATTGTCGCTACAGCCTCTCAATGGACGAAGGTTGGCCACATCTGAGCTGATAAGAGGCGACAGACGCTGTGCGGCTGTCGCATACGATGTTTCGTGATAGCGCATACAAAACGAACGTTCTGAAATCTGTTCATCACCACCAAGAATAGCAGCAGATCATCTACACAGCAGGAGACTACACTTCGCAGCTTATCGTCCTGTCGGTTAAATTCAACACATGATGTGAGATGATTTTGTTATCTATATTAAGTATAAGAGGTATTATCGAAGTACTCAACTCGATTCATTTTGATTCCACCGTCAACAAGTTTGAGCAATGAAGCTTGAGCATTGAATTAGGAATGTACATTTTTTATTTCGTAAAATATTTAAAATTTTTGAGCATTGAATGAGAAATTCAATTTTTTTTATTTCGTGAAATACTTAAATTCCTTTCGCAAAATTGGGGTTAAAATATATAACATATTTGAGGAAAAAATTTTGTGAGAACATAGGTAGAACTGAACTAGGTCAGTGACACCATAATAGATAAGTTATGATAGTGAGACCTGTGAGAGCACTAGTAGATAGTAGCATGCCGTTACCAGACTCCCTTCAATTTGAGCATAAAACAGTTCTTCAAGATCAATTGATCAAAGATTACGACATATTCTAGTTTTTTAGGTTGTGGGCAACTTCAAAGAGATTAGTGACAATTGCTCAGAACGAGAACTGTCCGATCATTTTCCATAGAACATGCCGGGCGCGGGTGAACGATACGGAAGCGCATGAATCAAAATACTGAAAATGTTGAATTTACTATTGTATTGTAAATAGGGAAATTCAAATTATGCAATTGCTGAATTTTATTGCTCTATTGTAACTAGTGATTAAAGATATTTTCCTGCTATCATGAGTATCGTTCAAAAGAAATGTCAAGTGAAGAACGACTTTAAATCTTCTGTTTTAAATTTCTTCTAGAAACTTGAAGGAAATCTCACGATCTTAAAAGAATTACATTTTATTGTACATGTAGTCGAACACATATGTACTCGAACACATTTAAATTTTATTGTAAATGTAATCGAACCTCCTACCAAAATTGATTTCATTTTATAGCCCGTGTTAATCATGCGTGGTGACAGAGTTGTCATATCCCACCCCGTTTAAAGTCATATTACCCAGAATAGTACAAGGGACAATATTTGTTAACGACTCACGAGTGCGGAGTGCCCAAGCCCAAGGTGGCATTACGATGTCATGATTACGACACATAACGCAAAAATTCAGACACAGACCAACATTAATATTAAGGAAATACATTCATATTAACGTACCCTGCACTTTGCCTGCTTCTTGATACTTTCATGGAGCACCAACATGTCTGCAATAACTTTTGAAAGGATTCTTGTGATGTCGGTTACAAATTGGAGGGACACAAACCTACTCCGAACGCTGCTAGTTGACAACTGTTGAGTAAGTTCTGTTCATCTGTTGGTGATGGTGGGTGACTGGGTGCGGTCTCCGTCTCCGACAAAGCTTCTAAACGCTAACAGCTTGGCCACCACGACGACCCACCTAGCAAAATTGAACAATCCTGTTTCCCATTAACGTTTAGGAGCCTCTCATCGGAACGCTCTAATAATTTAAACATTATATAAACACATGTATAAAATTTCAGCAGGAAGAAGAGATCTGTCTCAATTTTGAAATGTTTTTATTTGCTTAAGGAGATAGTGTAACCTCTATTTTCAAAATTAATTGCACATAAAATAACTACGATGTATTGTAGCCAGGGCTTAATGGTGCTGTTTAGGTCGTTATCATTTTTTTCGATTTTGCCTCCATTTGCGACTCACGGGTCGCCTGCCGAAGACCACCACTGCCCTGGATGTAATGGACCATCATGATTCCTGCCTTCCAGAACGTAGCCTTCAACACTTCAAGCCGTCCGTTGGCCATACTTTCAAAAAAAGTTAAGAGATCGTAAGTTCATCTGCCAATCATTGACGACCTTTCAAGCAAAATCCACCAATCATAGATAAGAAAATAGAGCGTAAGTACTTACGTTTATTTAGCGAGTTTTGAAAGTATGGCCCATGTATCTAGGCCGTGGGTCGAACCAGCCCTCGGTCGAACGGCCACTTGTCGAAGGACGATAAATTTTGGAACAGAACTGTGCTATCTGAAACCTAACCTCAGATGCGGTGAACGTAAAATTACGTAATTTAACGATGCCCGGAAGTCATATTCGATCCGCGGCCTGGGGGTGCACGGCAGGTGGTGGTCAAGGCCGGAAGAGGACAAAGCCGAGTGGTGCACGGCTGATTGGTGTAGGTCCGGAGAGATTCAAGGCGTTCGATTCAGGGCTTAATGGTGCACAAAATTGGTGGTGCACGGCTGCGCTCCCAATGAACCCAGGTCCATGAAACTTTACACGTGCGTTCATTTGAACCTAGGTGCAACGGGTGATGTTTAGGTCGTGATAATTTTTTCGCCTTCATTTGCGACGTAAGTGAACTATGATAAAACGAAAACATTTCATACAAATTACGTTTATGTATTGGTTAATGCGTATAGCCTTGTGAGTCGGGGAGCGCAGCCGTGCACCACCAATTGTGTGCACCAATAAGCCCTGAATCGAACGCCTTGGATCTCTCCGGAGCTACACCAATCAGCCGTGCACCACTCGGCTGTGTCCTCTTCCGGCCTTGACAACCACCTGCCGTGCACCACCAGGCCGCGGATCGAATGTGACTTCCGGGCATCGTTAAATTACGTAATATTGCGTTCACCGCATCTGAGGTTAGGTTTCAGATAGCATAGTTCTGTTCCAAAATGTATCGTCCTTCGACAAGTGGCCGTTCGACCGAGGGCTGGTTCGACCCACGGCCTAGATACGGACGGCTTGAAGTGTTGAAAGCTACGTTCCGGAAGGCAGGAATCATGATGGTCCATTACATCCACGGCAGTGGTGGTCTTCGGCAGGCGACCGCATCGGCCGCATAAATACCTCTCGCTTCATTGTGTTGTCGTATAACTCGCGAATGAAGGCGAAGCCGAACAAATTGTCACCAGCTAAACGCCAGCGTTAGATGATTAGGTATTCATGTACGAAGTTTCGTTCAAATCTGCTCAGTAGTTCAGGAACTATGTTATGTTAACTCTGAATTTTTGGCCCGTATGACCGTATAAGTTGGAAACGGAGGCGTAAACGAGATCATAATCACGTACTAAAAATCACCGTAATGGCCTTAGTTTAATCGAGCTGCGTTCAATAGCTTATATTTTATTTTCACTGAATCTTGGTGACCAGCCACAAGTGCGGCCGGAGAATTGTCGAAGAAGTACAATAATTCGAACTTAACGAGTGTGATGATATCATGACTCATTATTCAAGTATTTTCCAATGAATGTCCTGTAACACGTAACTAATTTATATATTGAGATCTGAGTATCTTTAGAAAATTAGTTTCTGATTCACACAACGATACCTAGCTGTCCCACGAGTAGCAGACCACCTCAGAGATTACATTATTTCACGTAGAAGCTAAGTTATTTCTTACGCTGCGTAGTCTAGTGGCTTGAAATAATGTTTAGAAACATTGCAAGAACAATGAATTAAAAACATTCTTGGAACCATAATTCAGGCTGCTTTCTTGGCTCACTATAGGTGAGTATATCCATTGCAAGTGGCACTACCACTACCTGACTCCTCGTTCGTTTTCGGCAGCGTACCATCATTAATATTCAACAATATACAATTCACGAAAAAGCAGCTAATAGTGGTTAGAAATGATTATATGAGTCACTTTTAACCCTGTAAAGGCAGAGGGCAATCGAAGCTTGACCTACGTCTCCATGACCACCGTGATTGATCAAACCTGATAAGACTGTGAGGTGAACCCAATACATACACGCGAGGCATCATTGTGCGCCCAGGCGTCAACCGTGCTAGAACATCAAACATTGACCAGCCGCGCAGTCCGCATTGTGCATTGAGATCAGACGTCGTGTGGTTGTATTCTTTTCTGGGCAGAGCTGCTTTGTCTGTACGCCACAATACATCTAGACATGTTTTATGAATATTGTCACAAGTGTGCGAGTCTAAACTGTTGAACATGTGTTCTCGCAAGTAGAAACTTAAACAGAAACGATTTTTAGGTCATTTTACGATCAGTGGAAACTACGGTCTTCCTTTAACGCCAATGACACGGTTATCTGTTATACATGCGAACAAATACTATGATTACTCCCGTGAAAAACTTTTTGAAACAGTGCAATTGATAATTATTTATCAGCTATTACTTTGTACGGTTTTGTAGATTTAATGTTCATGGAAAGAAAACCAAATGGCAATTAATGTGATTGCAATGCTTGACAATCATGTGTATACGACTGATAACAACAGCCAAATGAAATTAGTGCAATAAATCCTACTTGAATCAACACTTATAAATTTTAGAGTTATTTCATCAGTATATTTGAAAGTACCAATGGTTATTGCATGGTCATTACTCATGAATATTGTGGCTTTATGAGTGTAAACTCCGATAGGAACGTTACCATGTGACGGGACGTGTTGTTGATATCAAACCAACATTGATGTGCTTCTCGCGAGCTGGCTGAGCTTATTTTACATACTATGGGATTTTGACACTCCTCATAACAAGTACCTGCGAATATCATCCCGAATATTCGCTGTCTGCGACAGAAATGCTCACCGATAGAAAAACAATGGCTTGAATTTCCCCGAATTATCCCGGTTGTGTGTATGATTGAGGCTTAGTTTGCGTTCTAGTGGCATCATAGGATTCAGTCCAAATTTGGCGTAGCAGGCAAACAAACATATAGATGCAAGACAGGTTCAGTGGCTCGACAGGCTCAGTGGGTCGACAGGTTCAGGGGCTCGACAGGTTCAGTGGCTTACTTAAAACATTCTAGTGGCCTATAAGTATAGGTTTATCTATCAAATAGTCAACATAGTAACACATTAATGAGAAGTTACTAATACGCCTGAGGTTAGGTTAGGTTAGGCAGTCGGACATTTGGCAGTCGGAAATGTTTTCGGATTGTGGAACATGACATATTTCTAATTTTTTGTCAGTCACATTTTCATAACCAGACGGTCATCAAACAAATTAATAATCCAGTATCCAGTAAACAAATTAATTAACACTGCCGTTATTTACTTTTCATGGGCGATGCACTGAAATCGATCATCCGTGCAGTTTTAGAACTCCGTTATCATCAATCCAGATAATTCGGTTGAACCAACATTTTTTCACAGCATAGAACACCCATTTGATTTTTATTTCAAAATGAGAAAAAATTAGTTTGCATTGTTTAAATTAAATGTATTAATACCAAATTAAAAGTTAAATATAGATTTTTGATTGAATTCTCCCTTGCAGTTTTGCAATGGTTTCTATACAAAAAAGTAGGTATCACGGATAAGCGCTTGACTTTACCTCTTATATATTTCCGGCACAAAGCTTTGAAGACAAAAAAGCATCGGAAAAAATAGTCTACTTCTACCAGCAAAATAAACTAATTTAGTTGTTTGTAAAATTTAAGTCTTTAAAGAACATTACTACAGATTCATCCTAGGACCTAGGACTACGGGCTGTGAGCCTACATGTAGTGTTTAAATATCTTACTTACTAAGCCCTTCTACTAAGCCTTAATTAAAGCAGCCGCTTCCCATTGAATGTTAATACTGTAACAAAAAGTTACTAACAAAAATGCACATATGTAGAGAGAGGTTACCGTCCGCCAATTTATTGTCATTGCTATCAAGCAAATGCCGAACTTTTGTTAATACCAACTCAGTCACAGTGACCTCATTTAATGAAATGACCTGGGTAATACCTAATTCAATTGTTGAATACACGTTGCGGTTTTTGAGAACAGCTGAGCAGGGCAAATATGAATAGCCAATCAACAGAATAACCAAAATTAAATAAAATGAAGCAACTACCCTTCATTTTCTTTCAATAAATGGGATTAAGTTTGTTTGACCGACAGTGTGCGCTCACACACATCTCGTGCTTCGATGCTAAGGTGAAGAAATTTACAGCTGTTTGGTAAATTTATTAATTTCTTCTGATGTGCGTAAGACGCTAATATGATTTTTAATTTCTACTACAAGAAACTGTAATAGTTATTGTAAAAAAATCGATTTAGCTAAACTATATTTTCAAGAAGCTCATTTTTCTTGTCGCCGGACGAGGCTTTTCGATTTACAATAGATGCCGATTTATTACATTTCCTAATATTTTTATCGGGATATATCTCTGATTTATTGTTCTCCAGCTGAACGAAAAAGTACAAAAAATTTGTAAATTTGTTGTATAGCCAGTCTGAAAAGAAGTAGAACACACGAAATGGACGGAAAATATCTATTTTTGACCGCTGGCGTGTTTCACCAGCGAGAACCGCGTCTATCATTCCCCGTAATCTTATCTTGTAGATGATATGCATGTAGGGATAGATAGGTCGTAAACTATCATGGAATCGGATGAATCAGTCGACATTCAAGTTATCGCCAAACGTGTGCCACTCCTTGAATGCATACTAGGACTCGTGTGTGCTGCTATGCATAACTGTTGAAAAGATATAGAACTTCAATCAAATCTGTCGGATTTCCTGCTCTAAACAACGGCATGTAACAATGTCTGGAGCTCTCGTGTCTCCTGAGCCGTCAGTCGACGGCATGCAGCATAAACAATCGCAGTGCAGTTGTAGGCGGTGTGCTGTGCTATTGATCGTTGAAATCCGTACCGGGAGAAATTTGATACGCAGATTTTGCTACTGAAGGTGTACAATTATGTGCAACTTAAGGTGCACCATAAAATTCGCAAGGTGCGCAATGGTATTAAATTGTAAATGTGAATATTTAGTGCATTGTAGTAGACTACTCAGGACAGAAACAGGTTTTAATTACAAATGATTGACAAGTGAATGTTGTAGTTGAAAGTCATTTTGAAATGTGTCTAGGAAACTATAATACTTTTAGTTACTTTTGAGTTCGTAACACTCACGGCAGAGCGAGGTTTGCGTTTTCTTGCTTCCTAATTTTATTTTCATGAACCCTAATCTTTTAATTCGATCGTGTGTCGCTTGTTCGTTTCGAAGAAAATTAAACACACATTGAGTCTAAAATTGCTGTCAAAGCAATCGTTCTATTATCTCAGCTCTTGAGTATTTTTTTAAAATTTATTCAAGTCTAGTGGACCAAACGAAACCTCGACAGATCGCCAGTCTTCCTCGCGATTACAAGTTCTATGATCGTCTTATCGTTAGATGTGAATCTAGGGAAATATTTCTAATCTGATGTAATTTGTTTCAGAATCACAGTTGAAGTCTTTTCACAATGCTGACCAAAAAAGATATTTTATCGCCTGGAAAGGTCATAGCTCGTATGTACGAGATTTATTTAATATACAGCGGCGTATACAATTTGCAGGGAGCAGACAGAGTAGGCATGAACCTTATCTTCCTTGGGCTCTTCGCGATCATCGGCTACTCGACAGTTGTATATCTACCTCAATACCTTCTCACGATCTTGAGCTTTTTCGTTGAAGAAACGGCCACAGAATGGACCGATTCATCGGGCGAAGATGCTGTCATTTCCTAGCAACCACCCTGCACGTTTTCTCCTAATTATATCAACATTAACCATCAATTTTCATCATGTCGCATGCAGTGCGATACATTAACCTAAAAACTACGTGTGCTAAAATGTCAGTCTAGACGCTCATGTAGTATCATTTGATTTCGCTACGTAATGTTATTAGTATAATTATTGTTGAGTAAACTTTACTTCGTATTCTATTCTTTTTTAGCCCAACCGCATACGTCCCTTAAGCCAGCATGGTTGGTCTTTCATTAATCAGAATTGTCAAATCAGCGCTTACTTCGGAATTAAGACCGCAAATACAAAAAAAAAAAAAATAGGACACTCCACGTAGTTCCTTGGCGAGGAGAGAGTCTTCTGAAAATGTTTTCGAATTTTTGAAGCCGTTCTTTATAATGCGAAATTTATTTCTGGGCTGCGCCTTTCACGTTTCACTGAACTTATACGACTGAATTTACGCTCTTTTGAAACTTACAGTGAACAAGGACACTGGAACACGTAGTAGGACACGATAGTATATTCAAATGTAGTCTGCTCACATCATAGCTAATTGTCTAAAATGTCAAGATAATTCAATTCGCATCATCCACAGAGTAGGTATTTAAAAGCTACCCTTTCAGATGTTTCTACTCAAGTTTCTGAGCAAAAGTAATTATTTTTCATTAGTACAAAGTTAACAAGCCAAAAAATGCGAGCGTGCAAGGATAGGGAGTTAATCACTTGGATGATCAAATAATTCAGACCGCATTGAAAACTGCAAATCTGATCAAAGAAGAGTTAACTAAGATTAAACTAAGATTAAAACCTGTCTTTCTTCCCGATACCGTGAACGCCCCAAAGATTCATGTAAAGAGATTAACAGTTTATCCACTAATTAGTAAGAAATCGCATGCACATCGTGCGTCATTCGATCATTCAAGTTTCTTCCGCTTAGAATTTCCAACAACTCTCACCACTGCCGCAGGCACATAGGCAGCAGCACCAGTGAGCCTTTCTTCAATATCTCTGGCTTTCCTCTTTGACGGTTTTTCTATAGTTTTTGTGAGTTTATCTCCAGTTTTTCCTTCGTCAAGGTGGGCACGTTCCGAATGAGGAGTAGCACTACCACCATCACTCCCGACCACGGAGGTTACACTTTCAATTCCATCATCGCCTTGCATGGACATTTCATGGCTTGTAGAAGAGGCGCTACCTTCGTCTGCTCCTAAGTCGAGTTCAAACAACGCATCAGAAGCTTCATTCGTTAGGTCAACGGCGATAACAGGTTCTCTCTGCTGTTTCTTGACGGAGTAGCCAGGCTTCGAGCTTGGCTCCTTGGATCCAACTTTCTTACGGAATTCAAATGAGAGCGAGCAAGCATCTTTGTCAGGAATATTAGCTGAACTCAGTGAGAGGAAATCTGCAGACCATTCTCCGCTGGAAAGTTTGGCTAGAAAATTCGCTTGTTCCACTGATCCTCGAATCAAATGAAACCGGGACACGTCAACGACAGGAGGAGCTGACTTTGCTTTACATCGCTCAACGGCTGGAGTCGAATGCGACGGAACAGCGCGCGAAGCAGGATTTGCAGTCGTAGAGGCAGCGGTACAAAACTTCTCCAGAAGAGAGTATAGATTATGGAATGGGCTAGATTTTTCTGCCACAGACTTACGGAAACCGACAGCAATGCATTTACCAAGAAATTCATGCAAGTTTTCAATGGCAACAACTGGAATGCAGCGACAATAACAACCAGGCAAGAAGCTCTTCGGTAACAATTCTGGAGTAGCATTCTTGTTGACCAAGAGGGCACCAAGAGATCCTTGATTAAGATGTCGCATTATTTCATTGTAACCCATGACCAGGTGTGTTAATTTTTCTTTCTTGGATTTTTCGTCTCGAATGAAAGCCTCACGATCATTCGAGCTCAGGCCGGCAAGATGACTGTCTCGAAATTTTTGAATCTCTTCTGCACGTTCCGCCTTAGGTATTTTTCTCAAAAGTTTCCACGGTGGTCGAAGTCGTTTCGTTTCTCTTAGTCCTTGAGCAACGTTTGACAACTCAAGTTTGATAAGCTCAGCATTTTCTTTTGTAACTGGAGGCCACTGAACAGATAATGGAGGCTTCAAAATCTGCTTGCTGAGCGGCTTTTTCGATTGAAATTTTTTGGTTCCTGCGTTTTTCGAAGAGGCAGTCATTTTGACCGAAAAAGATTTTGATGCAAATTAAGAATTTAAGAAGCTAGGCGCGTTCTCAAATTAGGACTCTTGATATAGATAGTACGAGTAATGATTGACTATGAAAAAAATAACATGTGTGAATTAATGAGTCTGAAGTATCAAAGATTGACTTTACTCAGCAAAAGAAGTGTCGTCAAGAGACGAGACTTATCCAGAGAATTGAAGTTTATGGCTTCTTAGGAAACTCTTTGGATGAATCTTCAGTTCATTTGCTTGGTAGGTAAATTGTCCGACGTGCAGAATGAAACAAAAACCGCTGACCCTAGGAAATAAAAAAGAAAGGAAGCTAAACTCAACGGTACTGAAAATTGGTTAATTGCATGTGTGAATAAACCAGGCTTAAACTATAAACTAGCACACTATATGGATGGATGCTCATGATATATTATTCAACCTTGGCTCCCAAATTGATGTTTATGATGAGACGAGAGGTTAGCGCAGGAGTACACGTATAATACTGATAAACTAACGTAAATCTAAACCAAACATAAAAATATGAAGGGTAAAAACCAATAGGATGTCACAATAGTTCCTAGAAGACGCAGCTGAAATATCACTCTAAAAAGTATTAAAAACTCTAGATCATGAAGTATGAATAGTACTTGCGAGAGCTTGGCTCCAGATTCGTAGTCAGTAATCAAGAAGTAATGTAAAGGCATAATATAGGGTCGTATAGAATTTTTCTGCTCTTCTGGCTTTGATAAACAAAAAATCATTGGTATGTAAAGTTCGTTTGTCTTCGAGAACTACAAAGAGTCGAAACAGCAAAGCCATAAGGTATGAATATGTCTTTAAAATGACTAAAAATTACCACGCCCAATACACGAGCTTTAACAGCAAAGGCATTAGAAAACGGGTATATCTGAGACCAATGGTAAAAAATATATATATATTCAAGTTACGCAGATTACGCCACTCCAGAATCGATGGCAACATTAAAAACTGTTATTCCCAGATTATACAAAAGAAAAAAAAACGAAGACATAATTTCAAGTGTAAGAATACAATGGAAACTGAACAGGAAGACGCTCTGTGCTGCAATGAAAAATGCACATTTTGTGCACAGATGAAGGATCCAGTTTCAACAGACAGGAAAGTAATAAATCTCGTTGGCAATCAATAGTGACCTGACAACACCGCAGTTTGGAAACGTGTAAGTAATTTTGGTTCGGTTATGCCTTATATGTTATTATGGTTAGATACAACAGCTGTAAGCTGTGCGTATTCATAAAATTGTAAGCTATTCATAAATTGAAATGCAGAATGCTTGGCGAGTTCTATAATTTCGGCGTAGGGATTAAATCAGAGTGAAAATGAATTCTAGAATGTCAGAGGGCTGTGTGCGATGCTGCGGAGGCACCACTGGCGGCAGAAGCTGAGGCCTCCATTCCGGGCTCATCGTTGGACGTTCCGATGACGTTGAAGAAAGCCAGCATAGTGAAGACATATGGGGGAAAATACACGTACGACGAGTAGGTGATGATAGACACGATCGTCAGGATGAAAAGGTTCATGCAAACTTTGGACGGATAGTCCAGAATGTAGATGCAGGTGTTAAGTTCGTACAGGAGGTACCAGTGACAAAGTTTGTCCCAGATGTTACGCAGAAGTCGAATCATGATGAATTGAGATTTGCGAGGATTGTAGAGAGATCGAGGTTAAGTGAACTCAAAGACTTATCTAGCACAGGATTGCGGGGGAAAGACGTTTGTTAGATAATTACCGTACTTGATCGTTTTGATTTAGTTAGGGTGTTAATTTCTTTCCTTTTTATCTGCGGGATCGATATTATGAGGACCGAGTTTATCCGCCGAAGGAATATTGATGTCGAGTTCCTTAACGGCTTTCTTGACACATTTCTGGTACTGCACAAAGAGCGGGGCACACTCGTCTTCACTCTTGCCCTTCAAGAACTTCCCTGAGAACCACGACAAGAAACAAGCGTCGTAAACTTCTTTTAGTTCTTGACACTCGGCACTAATGCTGTTCATTTGATGGGAAACAGGCTAACGAGATTAAAAGCTCCTACATAAATTTCCAAAAATAAGGACTTATAACCGTTAACAATATTTTTTATCACAAATAGGAGTTTTTCTGTTATGAGCAAAGAAAAGCCACACAGATGAGCTGAATTCCTACCACATAGACAAACGAAACTCGACGTCTTGTAATGTAAATTATTTCCAGGACACGAATTGTCACGCAACCACACTGAAAGTGACGACGAACGTTTGTTCGACCGCGAATGAATAATTTCAATAAGCCATACACAAAATAGAGAGTGAGACGCACGTACGTGTGAAGTATTTCTTGGCGTAGAGAGTTAATTTTTCGTTGTAGAGGAAGGTGGCAACTCAGTGTAGGAGCTGTTGTTTGTCTCCACAGTAACGTAGAAGGTATACGTTGGCACAAGCTTCACCGAGCAACGAACCAATCGTGCACGTCAACGGCCAAGTCTGAAAAAAAAAATTCGATGAGCAAATGGTGATAAGCTGGGAACAAAAATTTTAGAGATTATCAGGAAGAAAATAATTCAAACGTGAATGATTTGAGATCGGCAATGGAGGAATAAATCAAAGGATTTAGATACTCTTATCCTGTTTTATCTTCCTCTCAATATGAATAGCTCAACCTCATTCTGGCGCACGGTAGAAAATCAACCTGCCTGCAATGAAGCAAAATTATTGAGCTTAGATCAAAGAAATTCAATTGGATAGACTAGTAATTTTTTAATATACACTCGCCTAGGGTTTTCAACATCAGAGCTATTTTCAAACTTGAAGAGTTGAGTAACTCCATTATTTTGGGAAAAATGTTGATCAAGTGGGAGTACCGGTACTGGTATATGGAATCGAGTTATATCCTGTAAGACCTAAGATTAGGTAATCAGCCACTATGTAGACAGAAGAATCAGTAACAATTGCATTTTTGCATAAATTTTTCCAATAAAACAAATCTAACAACAATTACTGAATTGATAACGTACATTAAAAGATAAAAATACCTGCCAAGGTCGGTCCCAGTCAAGAGGGATGGGCAGAGCTCCCAGCCAGGCCCCAAGCAGCACCAGGACAGCACGCACCTCTCCCTCACTCACGCCTCCAATGCGTCTGAACATAAGTGGTTTATGAAGCAGTCACATGGAGTTGTTAAATAGAGCTTGATGAATAGGAAATAGATTATTGGTGAAACAGATGCACAATAACAATATTGTGAATAACTAAGATGGTCTGATGGACGAAAACATCTGATTTTATGGAACTGAAAGCACAGCAGAGTAATGCCAAGGTAAGCAATAAATAAAGGATAAAGAAAATTGAATACCTAGTCAAGCACAGAAAGAACAGTAACCTAACCTCTCCCCAAAAAAAGTGAAATTACCTCTACTAGTGCAGCAATTTTCCACTGATATTACAAAAGCCTTTACAGATTTTGATGTGCTATATGGTATTTACCTGGCAGTCAGGAGGCAGTTGAGAGCGTTGGGTCCTAGTGATACGAATGCACGCCCGCAACACAGCACGGTAAGCAGCAAGCTCAAGCTAAAGGTCTCAACAACACCACTGAAATTAAATTTGTTCATAAATTGCATTTATATAAGCAGTGCTAAACTGTTTGTCAGAAAATTTATTACATGTTTAATAAGAAACTCTAATTGAATTGAGAAGGTTACAATAATTTCAAATTTGTGATATCATGAATTCATGCATTATAATAAAATTGAGACAGGTTTCATATCCAAAATTCAATAAGAAAATCAAAAGAAACTTTTTTTTCTAGTCTAGGAAATGCACTCATTTACCAGACTCACTGTAAAATGGGAGCTCCAAACAGCAGAATCACACCATGAATGGCAAGAAGACAACACAACAGCTGAGCAATGCTCCACAGAATGCCCCGAACCTGCAACATAAACAAGTTTGTGAGCAGCCAAACCATATGACCTTTCATTGGCGTTAGATGATAATTTATGTTCATTGTCTTATTATAAATGCTCAGGTGTCAAAAAATTATCACACGAAAAGGCAACACATAAAATAAAACAAATTTGCTTGAATAGAAAGAATATTTTGATAAAAGTTCACAAAGCACATCAGCTATTCTTACAAGATGTTGAATATGAATTTCATCACCACACAGGAATGATATTAAATTACCTTCCACAAATTATGTTTGTCTAGCTGGAGGATTTCATTCGATCCAGAACTGTACACAAATGCTACTTCAATTATGCTGAAAATAAGAGTTGAAATTTGTATGGCACTCAAGCATACATGAATGTCAAGAGCATTGAAGAAGAGATACAGACAGCAGCCTAGCGATGTGAGGCAGGATAGCAAGTACTTTACTAAGGCAGTAGACGAGGAACCACCCATTACTTCATGTACTGTATATATTGTTAGCACAGATACAAGCTCAAGAATCTGTATGTAGGGTAGAATATTAGAGCCTTTGTACACACCTTGGAAAATAGCACTTACAAAATTTTCTTATATATATAGTCAAATGGGGTAAGACAGGATCGCAGCCTTCATGGGGTAAGAAAGGACCGGCCCATGGCATGCATTCTAATTGCACTGAATTTAATTTGGCAAAAGAATATGTTAGAGCAATCATTGCCTGTCATTTCAGAGCTTGTTTCAACCCTCTTCTGCAAATAATGAATTTCTGGCTAATTTTCAAAGAAAACCTATGTAAAGAAGGGTCACAAAATAGTTAACCCTGTTTGGGAAATAAGCTCTGTCTAATGACAAGAAATTTTTTAGCCAGGTTTGTGGATGTAGGCAGGTAACCTCAAGTAATAAGCAACTTTTGAGACATACTAGGCATTCCTACCTGCTACCATCACTGCCTGACAACTATTCTAAAATGGGGTAAAAAAGGACCGGACATGGGGTAAGACGGGACCACTAAATGATCCTGTTTTACCCACAAGTGGTCCTATCTTACCCCATAAACGGTCCTGTCTTACCCCACAAATGGTCCTCTTTTACCCCATAGTTTATCAAAAATAGCTTTTAAATGAATTTATTATTGTGCATAAGTATACATGGAGTATTTTGGTTAAAATTTTCATCATTTGCTTAAAATAACAATTCGAACTTGTTAGCTTTTTTAATTAGATAAATTTAGCATACTATTGTGAATTGCATCATGGGGATGGAGAAAATAGGGATGTCTCTTCCCATTAGTGAGCTGCAGAACAATGTGCAAGAGTGGTTGGGGGAAATATTGTGTGAAACATAAAAAATAATTATTATCACAATTTTGTGAGAGGGCATGGGCTATGTTTGAAGAAGTGCACCACAAATGCAATTAGCAAGAAAACACATGACGTCCAACTCTTAAGTTATTATCCATTGGTTTTATTACAATTTGATAAATTTTCAGACAATGACACTACTAAAATATACATGTAGCATTTGGCAGTGCTCTACAATGAATCAAAGCCAACCTACTATTTCTATGCTTAACAAAGTTTTCTCGTGCCAAAAACTCCAATGTGACTGATATTAGAGTTGACTTCCTGCAACACAAAACAGTAACAAGTGGTTGTTTAATCAAATAATGTGTTTCTAGATGGATAATATTGAATATCAGATTTATATTTTTACTAAAAACCTTGTAACATAAGAATTACCTGTTGGTCCTTTCTTACCCCAGCCTGGTCCCATCTTACCCCAATGGGGTAAGATGGGACCAGCTCACTTTTTTTGATCTGTACAGAAAACTGTGTTGTATGCAAAAAGTCTGACTTGTAGCTTTGAAGGCCATTGCATAACCACAACTTGTGATAAGTTTAGGATTTTTTAGTTATTCATGGTATAGATGCTACATGCCTGTTAGTGATTTCGGTCCTGTCTTACCCCATGTGACTATATAACTAATTAGGCATCTAAGCCATACATGTGAAAGTAGTCCAGCAATGACTTCTGATCAAGAAATCATCAAATAATTAGCACAATGGTTTGATAGACAGTGATTATGAATTGATTAAAATTAGAGGCTCAATTTATAATGAGAAATTCAGTCAAATTTTCAGATCCAGGCTTTGATTATCAGTCTTGGGCATCAGGTGTAGATAAAGGTATAAGAGATCAAGACATAGATGGCATTAATAAGTGTCAAAATTTATTTATAAAAATTCAACCTTCATAATTTAAAGCAGAAGACTTTTTTACCAACTCATACTATTCATCTATATTTAAATATGCCAACTAAATAGTTAGACAGAGCATGCAATCAGTCTAACAGGTCAACTTGAAATAAATTTAAACACTTTGAAATAGTATGAATATATGCCATTCCAATGCCCGTAGCACCTTCACCATGCTTAAGGAAAAAGTTTTGAATGTACTGCATGCTGTTATGGTAGATTGGGCCAGTCCATCATGAAATATTATGAAGGTATCATTCTTTTCACTACAAATAAAAAAAAGTGAGCCAGTCCAGTTTCATTCTTGCTACAATGGAGTAAGACTTTTAGAGGCTTCTTGCAGGTTTGATCACAATCCACAAACACAAAAAATTGCAGTTTTGATCAAATTCACAAACAAGCATTTGATTTACAAAATATTTTTCAATCTATTGACGCAGTGTGGATGATCCTCTGTCCAATCTGATCCTTATTCATCACCTGCACTGATAATAATGCACTATAGACCATATAAATAATAATTTGCAATATAAATTGTAGATTGTCATGTTTGTAGAGGTACAATAAATGACACAAAAGGCAGGGATACACCATTGTTCCGTTACACCAACGGACATGTTGTTGTTGTTTGTTGCAACCTTCACGCTTGCTGGGGGTGAGGCTCTGGTGGGTGGCGGGGGGCCAGCACCAGAAGAGGGGGGAAGTGGCAAAGGCCAGCAAGGGCTTTTAAGATGCGGAGAGAACCCGTTGCTTTTGTGGCGATGGCTCTTGCATCAGGGGATAAAGTGAAGTGCGTATCCCAGGTGACTCCTAGGATTTTGGGGGTTTTATCCAGTGGGATGATGCCGTTGCAGATGGTGGCAGATGGATGGTATCAGGATTGGATGCCAACCGACATAACAATTTGGGTTATTTTTGTAATGAAAAAGAATGGAAAAAATTAAGAGTGAAAGAATATTTGTTAAAGGTGTGAAAGCATGAGTCACATGATTGGTGGTGACAATAATACTCAAAATGGTACATATTGCATGAGAGCAATGCTGAAGTATGTTTGATGGTAGTCAAGGTGGGGACTTGTATTCTTTACTGTTTTGTGTCAGAGCAGAGGTGCAGCATGTGAATAGACATACATACAAAAGAAATGAGAGGAGGGAGGGCAATTTTTTATATGATGTCAATGTGAAACTGAGGTGCATTGACTGC